GGCCTGAAGCAGGGCTTGAATGCCTCCTATCATCAGATCCTGGGGAGACCAAGCCAAGAACAGCTTGTTAATTTAAAAAATTATTTAAAGATCGTGTATAAGGCGTACTCCCTGAAGAAAAAGAATCAGCACGTAACAATAAGCAAACCAAAACCAAACACGATCACTTGGGGTGTCAATATCTCTAGCAGTCTAAAACCACAATGGCTGTGTCTGCTGTGAGGAGGCTTCCGGGTGCCAACCACCCCACTTCCTGGACTTGGCAGGTGGAGTACCTCGCCTGAAGTCAGCTGGGGCAAGTAGGCCTGGAGGTCCCCCTCCCCCATAGCCATGTGCTGGGTATGCTCACTTCTCCCGCTCTCTGCAGCCGGCTGAGGGGGGGCTTCAGCCCCCGTCTACACTTGCTACCTTCTTTTACTCTTTGGGCAGTTCTAGCTGCTAGGAAATGACGTGGGCCCAGGTAACCGTCTCTTTTGGTCCCTATTCAGGTTAGCACTCAGTCTGACATACAGAGTCTCGGAGGGCAGGACCACAGGGTTCAGGGGTGAGCAGTCTGGGGTCTGCACCCAACACACCTTAGCCTGGGAGGCCTCTCCTTCCCGCCTCTCTTAAAATCCCTGTTGGAATCCTGTGCTTTGTTCCTGGCTCAACTCAAAAGGCACCTCTTCCGGGAAGCCTTTCCCTGGCGAACTCTCTCAAAACTGAACGGAAATTCCCTTCTGAGGATACACTTGCCTGTCTGCCCAAGTGTAGATGACTCTGGTCATGTGGTGACCAGAATTAAAGCATACACATCACCTGCGCCAGACGGGTTTCTTCTGTCACTTCCCACCTCATTCTTTGGAGACTCTCAGGGCTCTGGGGAACAGGAGCTCAGGCTACCCTGGCTGGCTAAGCAAGCCCCTGGTTCTGCTCCTTCTCTTCCCCTAGCACCAGAGTTACCGGCACACACCGTCATGCCTGGCTTTCACGTCAGTTCTGGAGGACCTGAACTCAGGTTCTCATGTTTGTGCAGAACGCGCTTTGGCCACGGACCCATCCCCCAGCCCACATTTTGACTTCTTTACACCAGAGAAGACATCTTGGTGAATGTCACATTCATCATCTAGAAAACCTTTTCACACACTGCACAACCCTTACCCCTCACAACACTGAGGTAAGTGTGACAAGGAGCACACACACCCATTGTACAGGAGAAGGAATGAGAACGACTGTAAGCTAAGAGAGTGCTTGTACCAACAAAATGGCCCCCTGCCAAACCCCTTAAGAGACTGTGCCTTGTCTCATGGAGGCTTCCTTCCCCACTCTGGCCATCCCTGTGTGCAGCACCTACCAGGGCCTGGCTTGGAGGGAGTCTGGGGAATGAACAGACCTGAGGCTTCACCTTGCGCTTCAGACCTCAGGCCTCCCTTCTCTCCCTCGTGGTTGTTCCAGGTAGAGAAAGATGCAGGCTGGCACTTCGGCTCTCAGATTTATTACTCTTCTTTTGCTGTGACAAACCCCCGAACGGAAAGAACTTACCCATGAAAAAGTTTTATTTTGGCTCACCATTTCAGAGGGGTCAGGACATATTTGTTTGGCCCCATGTGCTCGGGCCAGACATTATGGTGGTGGGAGCATGGGGCAGAACAGGCAAGTCCTCATGGTGGTCCAGGATGTGCAGAGAAAGTCGGGAGGGAAATGGCCAGTCATAATATCCTGCCAAAGACCCACCCGTTTCCTCCAGCTGGGCTCCGCCTCCCAAATTCGCATCACCGGGGACCAAACTTTCAAAACACCAACTTGTGGGAAACATTTCCAATTCAATTATAGTCACCCTCCTCTCCTGGGGGCTCTGTCCCTCACCTTCATTGAGCTCTCACGTGGGGCTGCACCTGCCCTGGCTATCACAGACACCACTGCCCTGCTTCTGAGACAGACAGCAGGAGCAAGGCTTCTGTCCCCACAGACACAGAAGCATGAGCCTTCGTGGCTCCCTCCCTGTGTTATCTACCCCAAACACAAGCGCTTCTCTCTCAAGTTGGTGCTCTAAGTCAGAGGCTTAGGAGGAAGAAGAGCTGGGCTCTTCCATGCTCACCCGCCTTCTCCCTCCCTGAGGAAACATCTTCGGCGTCACCATCCATTGCAAAAATGAATGGAGGCCATGCAGCCGGCTTTATTAAATATGAATGAGTCGCAGTCCACAGCCCCCACATGGTCACTCGCCCACTCCATCTCTGGCAATTACTGAGTTGCACGCACTGTGCCAAGGGGCACAGTGGTCCCCGCCTGCCCTTGCAGGCTGACACAGCCCGGCAGGGGCATGGCTCGGGTCTACAGCTGCCCTTCCCCCGATGGGGGGGAAAAAAAAACAGCCACCTCTGGTTCCCATGCAGCCCAGCTGCTCAGTTAGAAAGGCTCAGGGACAGGGTTTGCCTCTCAAGACTGTAGAGCCTGGGCACCAAGCTCAGGTCAGACAGAGCTGTGCCTTGGAGACTATGGGCAAGGTATTCTGGTGTGAGAGGCTTCTGAGCTGTCAGTACCCAGACACTTCAGGTTCAAGGAGACTCAGGCCGGGTTGAGGTTAAAGGCGAAGGTGCAGCCACACACCACTCACTCATTCAGCTGCGTTAACTCAGCGTTCCCAAGCTACTGGGTTATGAATGTGATGTGCGCCGGGTTCTTCACTGCTGTTTACTGATGTAATGGAGGCAGAATGGATGTCCAGTCAATTGCTGAATGAATGAACAAGTGGAACAAATGATGTGGGTAGTCCCGATGATGTCTGAGTTGAAGAAGTTGAGGTTAAAGAGCTTAGTGAAGGTTCCCAGGCCAATGGGCGGCACAGTGAGTGTGTGTGTGTGTGTGTGTGAGAGAGAGAGTGTGAGTGTGTGTGTGAGAGAGAGAGTGTGTGTGTGAGAGAGAGTGTGTGTGTGCGGGAGAGTGTGCGTGTGTATGAGAGTGTGTGTGAGAGAGTGTGAGTGTGTGTGTGGGAGAGAGAGAGTGTGTGTGAGTGTGTGTGTGGTGTATGTGGTGTGTGTGTATGTATATGTGTGTGTGAGAGAGTGTGTGTATGAGTGTGTGTGAGTGTGTGTATACGTGTGAGAGAGTGTGAGTATGTAAGTGTGTGTGAGAGTGTGTGCATGTGTGAATATGAGTGTGTGTATGTGTGTGTGAGAGAGAGTGTGTGTGAGTATGTGAGTGTGTATATGCATGTGAGAGTGTGAGCATGTGAGTATGTGTGAGAGTATGTGTGAGTGTGTGAGTATGAGTGTGTGTATGTGTGTGTGAGAGAGTGTGTGAGTATGTGTGTGTGTGTGAGAGTGTGTATGTGTGTGAGAGAGTATGAGTATGTGTGTGTGTGAGAGTTTGAGTATGCGTGTGTGTGAGACAGTGTGTGACTGTGAGTGTGTGTGTATGTGTGTGAGAGAGTGTGTGTGTGAGTATGTGTGAGTGTGTGAGAGACTGTGTGAGTGTGAGTATGTAAGAGTGTGAGTGGTGTGTGTAGTGGGGGTGGGTGGGTGTCACCCATTACTGACCTAGTGAACTGGCCTGGGGTCCCCAAGTGCAGAGTCTGCCCCGGCTGTCGTACATACTGGGTGTCTAAATTTGCTTCTGACCCCAATTTAACCAAGAGCCATCAAGCTGTTCACTACTCGAGGTGACTTAGTCAAAGCTGTCACAGACCATGTCCGGATTAGTAAGAACAAATACGATCAAATCCTTTTTCTGAACTTAAAAAATTACTTTTATTTTAGGAACCAATAAAATTATGGCAAATATTTACAAATAATTATCTCACATAAAGGTTACATAAAATCAATTCTTCACAAGGAACAGTCACTCATGAAAAGACACAGATATTGAAACTACGCCAACCTTATTGCATGTTTCTCCAGCTAATTTAAAATAAAGGTGTTGCAGTCAACCATTTAACTTAAAATAAGACCACAAATCCCAGGTTTGACGAGAAAAAAAGTTAAATTAAAAAATTAAACCATCCCAGTGTCCCCCCAAGTCCCACCCGAAGCCCCACCCTTCCCCCAACAAAAGAAAAATATGTCCAACATCTTTGGCAAATTGGCACTGCTGTAATTACATTCAAATATTATCACACACAAAAGCAACACACATCACTAAGAAAAAAAAACCACCAATATTTCAAGTCAGTTCTACTAGAAAAAAAGAATATAAAACATACACACTTTTAAGAAGCTTTTTGTTTCTCAATCTGTTGGAGACAGATCGTCTCCCACTTTCAAAGGCAATTCAATTGTGTGGTTTTATTTATTTTTTGTTGGGTTTTTTTGTATATTTTTTTTAACAAGCGTCTATGCAGGCATCACAAACTTTGGCGGATACAGTAGATATGCATTTCTTTGATGCTGGGCCAGTCCCTAGGACAGTGTTAACCATCTAAAAGAATGAGAAGCAAAACCCACGAGTTCCATCAGAATGTCATCTGCATTCCTACAAATACTCAATGTCCTCAGGCCACTAGAGGATGACAGACCAGGGCAGCATCGTCCAGCAGGAGCCAGGGCCACAAAATTCTACCCTCTTCCTACTGTGAGGGGGACCCTGTAGCCAGTCAGAGAAGAGGCGTGTTGGCAACAGCAGGCCCTCACTGCCCACTACCCACCCCGTGGCTCGGGCCTTGGGGTCAACTCTGTCCCTTTCTGAGCCTCAGGACAGGCTGCTGCTGGGTCTGCTCACCTGTGACCAAAGGCAAGGAGAGCCAGCAAGAACTGGCCCCGGGAGACACAACAGTTCTTCTGAGTTCCGTGTCCTAGTATTAGAGAGAGAGTGTGTATGTGTGTGGGTGTGTGATAGAGGTATGTGAGTGTGTGAGTGTGTGACTGTATATGTGGTGAGACTATGTACGTGTGTGTGCTCTCGCACGTGTGTGTGAACTCCCTTGTCCATGCACATGTGCACACGGCATGAAGAGGAAGGCCTGACTATGAGGCTCTGAGTTTTGCAGGATGTTTAGAATAGACGGGATTTATTTTCTTTTTAACTTTATAGCAACTAATTGGCTATTGATTGGTTGGAATTTTCAACTCTCCATTTCCTCAAATACAATAAAATCGTTTCATTAAAATGTACTCATGCTTGGAAACGAGGGGGTCATTAAGTGGTTTCCTTTCTGTTCCACTGTAAGTGAAATGTACCATTTGTAAATCAAAAGCCCATCGTCACATGTTCTCAGTGGTGCTTTTGGAGAAGACCAGGGATGCACCGTCTGAATGGTGGTTTGGGGGACTGTACCCCATGTGCAACTTAGCAGGTAAGTGAACCAGGTCAAGTGAGACTACAGGTTGGCCTCCTGAAGCCGGGTCTTGGAGTCAGTGGGAAGCACAGAACTGCCAGCCCCTTGTCTTCGATTTGTTTTCTTTCTGCCCTCTCTGCTCCGTGCTCCAAGCTGTCCAGGCTGAGCCTGATCCCACTGAGAGGTCACCAACATGCCATGCCATTCCCACAGTGAGGACAGAAACAGCAACTTGGTACTGCTCAGGAGACTAAGGTGTGGTCAGAAGAATCTAGAGGTCCTAAAGGGTGGCTGTGTTCAACCTCATCTCATCTGGAGACGAACTCAGAGGAACTTCTGGATTAAAACCCAGGAATGGCAGTGATCAGATATGAGTTCCCTGTTGGTCCTGGGAGTGTCCAGGAACTGGGCCTCAGTGATGAGGAATCACCAAAGACAGATAGATGGGTGCCTGCTGCTCCCAGCATGCCCCTCTCTCTACAGAAGCTGCATCTACATCCGAACAGCACCTGGGCAAGGGTCTCACTATGTGCTCTGCAGCTGGCCCTTGGGGACCTGGCTGCCACTGGAGGAACAGCCTTAGCTGACAGAAGGCAAGTGTGGATCAACTCTGTGGCTCCCTCATGAATATGCAAAAAGAATCTTGAGGCCCAGGACAACAGGGCCAAGGGGCTGAAGCAGCCACTGGGAGGGAGGGCAGACTCAAGGCGAGATGTCGTGGCCTGACTGTCCACGTCTCCAGACATGGATTTTGTTTCCTTTTAAGAAATGCACATGCCTTGGACCTCTGGGAGGTAAAGCACTAAAGGAATAAATTTACCCAGGTGCACCACTGTGTGCCTGGAAATCATCACAGGCAGACTCCAGATGGGCGACAAGGCCAGGGCCACTATGGAGCTGGTCTAACGCAGAGACTTACAGGGTCAACCTGCTCCAGCCTGGCCTGGCCTGTGCAGGGGTCTCCTGGGAGACTGCGTTTCTGTCTCCACTTGTTCCTAGTATTTGTTTGGGAGTGCTCGGTTTGTTTTTAAGATTTGCTCCCCATGGCTCGGAGTTAAATTCTAGCTGAAATGTCACCCACAAGGGGGTGGATGGAGCTAAGGCTGCCAAAGGCACAGCCGTCACTTCGGAGCCTGCCTCCTCATAAAGGGATTTCACCCCTCAATGCCCTGTGGCCACATCTGGGGCTCCATACGTAGAAAACCACCAGCTCCCCTCAGACCCACCACGTGCGTCTTTCACCCCACCACCACTTCCCAAGTTCAAACTGTTTGCACATCTCTCATCCCCTTCCCGTCTTCTCCAAGTGTTCGTGGAAGAGTAAGGAGAGAACAGAAGGGCTTTTGACAAGACTGGGGCTCACACGTCGGTGGCTGGTGGGCTCCATTCAGCCCATAGGCACCTTTTCCTTTGACTGAAAGGGCGTTTTTAAAGTTTTCACTATTGAGATGCCAATCCATGGGCCAATCATGCTCTAGACACCCGGAGATGCACCGTACCCTGCTGCTTTGTGCCCTGCCCAGAGGGTGGGTTTGAACCACCCGGCTGGCCTCAGATATTGCAATCTGGATGGCCCAGGCACCCCTGCACATTGTCACAGTTTGTTCCAAAGTAGAAAGGGCAGAGAAAAGAGAATGGAGATGGCTCATGGAACTGTTGCCTCATGCTCTGAGAGCCAGAACCTGTTCATGTCTAGACCCTGCCAGGGACCGTGGCATGGGCTTGGACACACTGTCCTGGGAGCCTCAGGGTACATCAGGGAAAGGCTCCATGTGAACACTCAGAAGTGTTCCGGTGAATTTAGGTAAAGACTGAAAGTGTCAGTGTTAATGGGACCAACAAGGCCACCAGTCCCCAACCCCTTTCTGTTACTGGACCAACTTTTGGGCTCTGTTCTTTCCTTCTTGTAGGTCTGGGGAATTCTGGAGTACTAAGGGGTGGGAGTCTTCAAGTCATATACTTCATGATGGGGGCTCAACTCTGTGTGCAAAGAATATTACTCGGAGATCTGAGGATTCTCTTCATCCTTATCTTCACAGGGAGCCTTGGATGCCAGGATTTTAGCCCCATGGGATAGTGGAGCATTACAAAGCAGTTTCGGTTATGAAGGCACAATCTCTAAGCAGGTGCCTTAGCAAAGGTGGGCTTGGTATATCATCACAAGTTCTCGGGCTGGAGCTGGACAAATGGTGTGAAAAGATCTCTTTTCACCAAGTTCAAACAGGACTGAAGGCCTGTGGAGGAATAGCCAGGTCTCCTGCCATGGTGCTGCGGAAGCCTCAGACTCCGTTTTGAATTCTCTGGCATGTGCGTCTGCAGTGTGCGAGTGCTAGCTGGAGAGAGCAGGTGTGCAAATGTGAGAACACTCACGTGCGTCTGCATCTCAAGAGCCGGCGAGAGCAGTGTGTGCATGAGCAGCCGTGTGCCTCTGCTCCCTTGTGCTTCTCCCTGGCACCCCAGGAACCCCGGGTTGTCTCATAAATACAGACTCCAATCTGAGGCCCAGCAGCACCTCAGGGGAGAGAGGAAAGACACACAGGTGGAGCTCCTTACATGGGCATGGTCAGGTGGCGGGGGAGGGGGAGCCACTGCAGGGCTGGGTGGGCTTTGCTGAGGAAGGAAGGAAGGAAGGTGTACACATGGAAGGCTGGTACAGGGAGGCTGCCCTCTTGCAGCTTGGAACTGCCAGGAGCACAGGGTGAACACCCCTCTAAGAGACCAGTGGCACGGGACAGAGGAGGCATGAGGATGGAGCCTTCTCCTACCTTAGCTGACAAGTGGAAGCTGAATGCAGGTCACTCAGCTCCTGGAGGTGGGCTGGGGCCCCGGCTACCTTTCTTTGGCAGCAAGTTCCCCAAGCACTAAGCCTGCTTCGAGCTCATGCACCTTGCCTCTGGCCCGGTGACAGGAATCCTTGGCAGTTGTACCTGTTCGGAAGCCTGATCTGGAGTACGGGGACAAATGGTACCTCTTACCATCTTCACAGTCACCTTCTCTCCCAGGTACAAGAGATGGCTAGATGGAAGTGACAGCTAAAGGGGTCCAGGTCCCAGCCCTACCTCTGCCAGTCAGTGGGGACTCCACTTAACTGAGCCTCAGTTTCTTCTTCTGTCCCACTGCCCTGTGGGAGGTATTGAGGCACAAAACACTTGTGTGTGTGTGTGTGTGGGGGGTCTGTTTGGTCTCCCCATCTGGTTCTGGTTCCCTAAGCTGGGCCTCAGTTTCCTCTCAGAACTAGCCCAGGTCTTTCTGAAGGCTTTTCGGTTCCCACCCTTGTTTTACACTTGACTGGAACGTTAGCAAGATCCCACGTGCTTGCTCAAAAGGGAGGGCCTGCCCCAGGTGACATTGCCCCTGCCTCAGCTCCCTGGGAGGAAGGGAGGAAGGGAGAGAAGGAAAACTAGTAAGCTAAGCCAGCTGTTAGCCCCCCAGAGGCTCAGAGAGGTCAAGGGTCTGAAGTCCCACAAGACGGCAGACCCTAGGGACGCTGCTGTCATGTGAAACCGTCGTTTGCTGACATGATCATGTTAAGCCTCAGTTTAGACAGGGGTTCTTCTCTGCCATTTTGAGTTGGCAGGATGGGCTGTGCAGAGAACAGAGGTTCCAGATGAATAAATTGTATCACCGGGCACCCCAGACTCAAACCCACCCTCAAGTTACCCACCAGTTCCTCAGTGTTTGGCCCGTCCCTCCCCTAGCCCCTCCTCTGTCTCCCACGGATTCCTCTGCCTTTCCCACAGTGAGTTCCATCTCGACACCTTGTATGAGCAAGCTGGCCTGCAGGTGTAGGTCGGGTACCTGCCACCATCCCCAGCACCTCCATGCCCAGCCACACTCTGTGCTCCCCAAGGGTGGCAGCGCTGCTTGAGAGGAAGCTCGGGTCCTGGCTGATGCCTGCAGGGTATGCTGGTCCTCAGTGCTGGCATCAGTCCTTTCTGCCAGCCACTGTCTCTGTGGCTGGGACAGACTCGCCCAGAATCCAGTCGTTGGGGGTCCCAAAGGATGGTTGCAAAGTGCCCATGGCTGATGTCCAAAGAGGTCTGAGCTTGGGCATGCCTCAGCAAACATATTCAGTTTGGTGGTTCCAGGGGCCAGGAGGACCATCGGACCCTGGCCTGGGTCCGATGATCTTTTGATCCAGATAGCTATTCAGAGTCACAATGCCATCAGCGCTTGGATGGATGACCTCTTTCTTTAGGACAGCAGCTGTCCTAGACAGTTCTCTTGGAGTCCCTTGATTCAGAAAAGGACCATTGACACTATGGTGGCTCCGTGGAAATGGAGGCAAGAGGCCAGGGAGTCTCCCCGAAGTGTATTCCTCTTGGGGGGAACCTCAGGGGAAGCTTGTGCCATGACCCCCAGTGAGCCTTGTAGATATTCGAGACGTGAACTAGAGGCCGGGCATCCTCAAGGTGGCCACTATCAGTATCAAAGACGGCTTTGAGATACCTGACAGGGCGCCAGGGCAGAGGGAAGGGTGTTCTGTGCAGAGGTGGAAGATAGCCTGTGGTGCATTGTGGGTAATCTGCTCTGTCAGACCTTCAGGGCCACGGAGAAGAAGAAGGTATTTACATGGGTGCTGGGAAGCAACAAAAGCCCGCTCTCCTTTGCAGGCCTGCCGTGGCTGAACCCCACAGATGGTCAGACGGTCAGGAGGACTGGTAGGCTGGGCTGGGCTGCAATGGTCTTCAGAACAGCAGAGCCCCTGTCACCACTGGGAGAAGCTTGTCAACTGACTCTTGAAATGGATAAGAATCCAGAAGTCCAACAGCCCTACCTGGATCCTAGGCAGGGAAAAATGGAGGGTTGGATGCTTCAGCTGTGTGTGGGATGGGGTGGGAGACGGCATTGTTGGGCCCCTCTGTCTGTCTGGGGGATTAGGAAGCTGTCTATCTCAATGATACGCGTTGAAGAATTGGTGCCCACATGGCTCTGAGGGTCAGTGGCGGTCATAGGCGGTGGCTGCGGCAGGTGGGGCCGCCCCTCGGGCTGCGGCGCTGTAATAGTATGGGGAGCCTGGAAGAGACAAGAGGGCACTGAGGTGAAACCGGGGGTCCCTTGTCCGCCAGTCTCCCCTCATCCAGTTAGGGCCACTGTCCACTCTCCCTAAGATCTTTGTCCTGATCTTTTTCCCGAGTCGGATCAGCGCCACCCAGAGCTGCATGCAGACTGAAGGCCCTGGTTTCTATCCTGGCTGCTGCTGCACGTGGTCTCCCTTCCTTTTGTGTGGCTTCTGGCTGCTTCCATGTCATTGAGAAGAACTGGGTAGTTGTCCTTATGGACCACAAAGCCTAAAATAGTTAGTGTCTGGTCGTGTGTAAAAATGTCTTTGAGGCCTTACCTACAACAAGGATAAAAGTGTTCAGGTTTTTGTCTGTTGACAAGCCTTGGCCAACCTCCCTGGGCTCGTTGGCCATTCTGCCCATTACTCCCGGCCATACTCCCCACCACACCCAAAGTTTGTGCCTGTCATCTACATGGGTCATCTCATTCAAATGTAGGGGGCAGGGCCAGTGGCCCCATTTTATCAGACTCGGGACTCCTGCTTGGAGTTCCGGGCCTGTGCCCTTATCCTCTTTCCTGCCTAGGCTTCCTCCAAGCCCTAGGACTCTGCCTTTCTCCTCTGGGAAGACTCTCCCATGAGCTCACTTTCCTTCACAGGTTGAGCCGCATGGTGTGACCACCTCTCTCCTTGTGCATGTCCCCTCTCCTAGGGCAGAGAATCCTTAATAGTGAAGGCCTGGGCTCTGGCCTTCTTGGCATTTGCCCCCAGCTTCCAGCTCTGCTCAGTGAGGATCCTGGTATGAAGGAACAACGGCCCTGAGTGAACAAGCGGTAGTGGGGATCCTGCTCAACCGTCCATTTCCTCACCTCATTGGCTGCAGGCATGAGCAACAGTGGGCAGCCACCGATTCAACATGGCTGGATGCTCAGAGTTCAGGGGAATCTGACCCGGGCATGTTAGCTCACACGTATAATCCAGGGCTTGGGAGCCTGAGGCAAGAACATTGCCCAGCGTTGAAGACCAGCCTACATACTGAGACCCTGTCTTGGGAAAAAAAAATTTAAAAAGGAGTTTGTGCCCTGGGAAGCAGGGCTTTCAGACAAGCTCCGGTGACCACCTGACAGGAAGTGGGATTGGTCTGGCCTCAGGCATGGACAAGGACATGGAGCAGTGGCGGCAGTGTGAGGGGGGTAAGGCCCCTTCCTGTGACCTCAGGACAGAGTGGTCCCCGGGTTCCTCTCACGCCTCTGGACTGTTTCCTGCTGTTTGGACATGTTCTCTAAGGAAGCTACCAGAAGTCCTATCTATACTAAAACTCTTCCCAGGTTCTTGGGGAGCTGGGGACCCAGGGGCCTGGCTGGATTCTCAGATCACAGAAGCCAGAGCTTTAAACCGTTCACAGTGAGGATGGTCAGCAAAAGAAAAACCCACTCATGTCACAAAGCCCCTCAGTACTGGATCCTGGCCGTGAACCCAGGATATGTGTCCTTGGCAAGGGGTTCATTCACCACAATACAGTTCAAGGTCGACACCAGAGGGACGGGCTTATTGCAGCAGACAGAAGTTGGGGCTCTATCAGCCAGTCTTGTGGGGTGGGCTTAATGAGCTGAATTCCCAGAGGAATGGGCTTGGATTTGTTCTGGAGACTCACTCAAATCCAAACCAACCCTGGCTGTTCTCCCAGATACCCTAACTGGGGGCGGAGCCTGGCTGTTCTCCCAGATACCCTAACTGGGGGCGGAGCCTGGCTGTTCTCCCAGACACCCTAACTGGGGGCGGAGCCTGGCTGTTTTCCCAGATACCCTAACTGGGGGCGGAGCTGTGGGGTTTTCTTCACAGGCCCAAACATGTCTCCGTAAAAGGCGTTGACCAGGCGGATTTGCTCCCCTGAGCCTCAGTTGTTTTCTTCTTTAAAAAGGGGTCACAGGGGGGCAAATGTGAGGGCACCCAGGAATGAGGGTGTGATGGGGCTGTGGGAACGGTCACTTTCTTCTAAGGACTTAACATCTGTTAACTCTCAGGTAGGAACTACAGTTGTCCCTGTTTTATGGATGAGGGACACTTGCCAAGGCCATTTGGCTAGCATGCAGTAGGGTAGGGGACACTTTGGCATCCGGACTCCCTTCTACACTCAGCCTCACAGGCTGGTCCACTCTTGCCTCTGACTCAGGAAGACGGTATAGCCTCAGGCATCGATAGTGTGGCACCTCCCCTTGCTGTTCCAGAAAGCCCAGGCAAGCATTCCACACCCAAGAATCCCCAAAGACACTCTCCTGCGGCCTCCAAGGTCACCTCCCCACTCCAACCCTGACTCTGTGGGATGGGACAGCAGCAGGGTGGGGGTGGGGTTCATTCCCTGCAGGTCTGGAAATTGCTCAAGAATATGAAAATCATAGGGGCTGCCCTCACAAAGGGTCCACAAGGGGCAGCGGGTAGAGGGAATGGCTCTCTCGAAGCCCTGTGGTGAGGTTTCCAACTTCCTCCCACAGCTCTGTTTACCCCGCAGGGCTTTGCCAGCCTGGGTGGCAGCCCTGGCTGAGGGTTTGGTTTACCACAGAAAATGAAAACATCACCTCACAAAGCACTCTGTCTTCTTGGTGCCCATTAGACCTCCACTAGAATAAACTTGTCCTTCCTCCTGTCATTTTTCCTCTCTAATTCACATTATCATCAATTTACCTCGTGACACAGTCATTCCAGGTTGGCTCAGGCCTGGTCCCCTCCCTAATCCCTTTACAGCGGCCACAGGCTGCCCTATTCTAATCCTAATTGACCATGGCCTGCTTCTCTGCTGCCAGACCTGCCAGCTCTGCTTGCCTCTGTTGCCCCCTCACCAGCTTGGGGGATCCCACAGGATGAGGTGTTGAGGGGGGCTCTCAGTCCTCACCCTGACTGCGTTGGTAAAGGAGGCTTCAGCCAGGTCAGCTGGGGTACCTGAGGGGCCGGTGCAAGGCTGTGTCTGAGTGGGAAGAGTGAGCTGTGATGTGTGTCTTCACCTGAGCCTGAGGAAACACAGGACAGGTCACCACATTCCTGGCCTCCTTCACCCCAAATCAGAGAAGTCATCAGACTGGGTCTTTCTAGGCTGACATGGGATTTGTTTGGCCAAACCACTGAAAAGTCTGTGGCAGGGCCTGTATGATGGGAGCAGACTGGAGCTATTTGCAGGGCTTGTGGTCAGGTGAGCCACGTGTCTTCATCTTCATGCAAGCAGGATCCCTATGGATCCAGAGCACCATGCCTCAAGAGCTTCACCTTCGGTGCCTGAGTGAGAGAGAGGCTACCATGGTAACCATCCTCATTTTATCCCTGAGCCAACTGAGGCCCAGGCTGGTGGGTGGCCTGACGGATCCAGGTTACGGACTCGAGCCATGTCTCATGTTTGTAGGCCCCGCATGATTTACACACCTCTTGTGTTGGCACCTTTCCTGTGGCACAGGCCGGCCTCTGACTCATCCTCCCAGCTTCCCTTGTGGCTGGGGCTCAGGCATTCTACCTGAGGGCTGCCCACTAGACTTTCTTGTGTTGGACATTGATGGAGAAGAAAGCCACTTAAGGAAGTGGGCTGGGGGGCTCCATTCACTAGGAACAGGTGTCAAAGGCCTCCATGTCTGAATGGAGGCAGGGAACAGCTTCCCATGCTGTCGAGCACCTAGGGGAAGCTGCGTCGTGGCGTAATTGGTGGGTGCCAGCTGGCAGCAGTGGGGGTACTTACAGCAGAGCAGCCCTGCCATGCAACTGGGTGTGTTCCTGGCCCTTGTACCATGCCCATCTATTGAGTCTGTCTGGAGATTCTGGGAATCTCTGATGTCCTTTACTAAATATGTTTCTGCTTAAATCAGCCAGAGTGGATTCTGTTGTTTGCAATTATAAGTCATTAACCTGGCTCTCAAAACCAGCCTGCTGTCCTCATCACACACAAGGCTTGAGTGTTTGAGGGCTCTCACCTGTTTCTGCAGGGGCCTGAGGCTTCCTTCCAGCTGCCGCTGTCCAGCCTGAATTAGCTAGGGAGCTTGAGAGACTCCCACCACACACTGCCTAAGGATGCTGACTCTGGAGCCAAGGTGATACCTTGTCTGTCACCTGCCCGTGGGTGCATGAGTCTGCCTTTCTGAGCCTCACTTCTCTGTATCTCAGAGATATTAGGATGGTTCCCACAGGGCTTTTGAAAGCATAAAATGAGACGACCATGTGAAGCATTTCCCATGTGCCTAGATAGATTGTAGATAATCAGAGTTCGGATTCTGCTTCTTCCCCATTTTTCTAGCCCTCCTGAAAACCCTCAGCACCTAGTACAGGTACACCTGTGCGAGGCTTCCTCACCCCGAGCCTGTGAGATCTCTGGACAAAGCCTGGCATTATGGGCTGTGGACTGGCTTTTACTTAGACTTGAGCAGAAAAGCCTCAGGTCCCCACAACCCCTTTGGACATGTCACTGCCCTGCCATCTGTTCCCAACTTCTCAGCCTGGTTCAAAGTCCCTCATTCTTGCATATTCCACAACCATCCCAACTCCAATACCACCCCTGGGCAGTTTCATCCCTGCTGCTCTGCCCCTTAAATCCCCAGAAGCGAGCATCACTGCTAATCTCTGGGATGTCTTGTGAAAAGCACAACATGGTGACTCCTCTTGGCAGGCAGGGCTTTGTGCCACCATGGGCTGCATTCCTGCCCTTCTTGTGTTCCCTAGGCCGTGAAATCAGGCCTGGGTCAGTGTGGCCTTAGAAAGCCATTCCCACAGGCCCCAGACCTCCTGTGAGACACACTCCCTGTGAGTCTCCCTGTAGAACTGGGACCAGGGAGTCTTTTGTAAGGCAGGCTGGAATTCTCGCTCACATGGAGCATCAATGGTCAGTGCCCCTCTTCTGTCCACAGCTGTGCATGACACACCAGAATGCTTGGAGTAGGCCAAGGTCCCAAGAGCATATCCCACATCCAGTTCTGGTGGTACTGAGGAACGTGGCATCCATACCATGCTCTGTCTTAATCAAACCAGACCAGGGGAAGGAATCAAGGCTGAGACTTTACAGGCCTAGGGGTTGGCAATAATTAAGGATCCGGGGAATTAATGGGCTCTCACTGGAGGAGGTCTTGCTAGTGCGGACAGATAGGCCAGAGCAGTCTCAAAAACCTCTCCTTCCACTGCTCCAAGTAGAACTCTTTAGCTGACTGTAGGGGTGAGAGCAGTATTGTAACCTGCAAGCTGATTGGCTGGTTCTATCTGCTAAGGGGTGACGTCTGCATCCAGGACCTCTGTTTCAAGTTACTTCCGCTTTGACGGACACTCATCTGCTGGTTTCGTGTAGGTTTAGGTTAACAAAACTAATGGCTCTTCTTGAACCTTGGAGGGCAAAGTCAGTCCTGCTTGGGGTGTAAGAGTGTGTGTGTGTGTGTGTGTGTGTGTGTGTGTGTGTGTGTGTGTCTGTATGTCTCTGTGTACAAATACACCATGATGTTCACAGACCAGAATGTTCCAGCCGTGGACATTCTGCCAGTTTGAGTCTTGGATAAAGGTTAGGCACCAGCTGAGCCCTACACAGCGTGCCTTGGCAGGCCACAGGGCAGCTGGTTCCTAATAGAGTTGGCACCCGTTGTGCCCATAGCAGACATCATTAATCAATCACTGGGCCTCAGAGCCCTTAGCAAGTCAGTTTTCCAGGCAGCCAGCACCAATCAATCCAAGTTTGTATTTCCAGTGCCTTTTGTTTAGGGAATTGCACTATATTTAATAGTTCTTAAGAAATACTAGTTACTTATGGGCAAGCACTTTCCCTGCTTTCTTTCCTTTCTCACATTCCTGCTCCCTTGAGCTGCAGTGGCATTAACTACCCTAAGACCACCATAACAGCCCCTGTATTCCACATTCATGGAGCAAAATACCCATCTCACCCCAGTTGACCAGACCTTGAAAGGGACCCTAGCCCAATGAGGAAGCCAAGTAAGGCATCCAAGGACCCAGGGACCCCATAGGACAGTACTCACCAAGCAGTCCTGGGTTGGGGAACCTCCATGAATCATTGTAGGAGGAATACTGAGGGTGGCTGTAGGGACTCCCAGAAAATTCACTCCCTGCAGGAGGCGGGAAGAGAGACAAACAGGAGACAAATGTCAAATCAGGCTCAGAAAAGGCTGTGGATTCAAGCCAGCTTAAATACTGACTATCGAAGGCGCTTGTCTCCTCCGCGAGCTTCAGGTACTTTTGGTTACCAACTATAGCACACCGGGGCTATATCCTCATGCAGTGAGCTGTTTATTCCACCCTGAAGCACTTTGTATCAATGGGAAGAGAAGGCACAGAGTCCTCATGTGCAGGGTGGGGGGGGGGGGGGGTCTCACTTGGTACACCTGCCTAAGTTCAATCCTAGCCCGCTGGGCTGTCAACACTGGCTGAGGCTCCTAAGGACCCCAGTGTGGGGTGGTCCCACTGCTCACGGCCTTAGCTCTAGTGTGGCCCCTCTGTGCTGTGAATTCAGAGTGACCGTGCCAAGGGCAGCCAACTGAACAGGGACATGAGACCCAGGGGCACCCCGTGTGTCTGGAGAATTCAGATAGCACCCTGCTGACATGAAGGGACAGGCTAGTGCTTATGAAATACAAAAGAGGGAGTGGGCTGGGGTCTTCTAGGCACTGGGGAGGACAGTCGTTCATGTTGTGGGCATGCTCAGGCAGGCACTGTGAGGTGCGCGTGGGTGAAGGGAGGGTGGCGTGGGCCCAGAGGACAATTCGCTCAGATCCAGCAACCCGAAGAGCTGAGCACCCACCCCTGGCTGTTCCCCGGGTTTGCAGTAGCCCCAGGGGAGTCTCTTTTCTGCCAGCTAGGCCAGGGCACAGCTTCAAATCCTGTCCCCACACTCTGGTAGCCGCAGACGCTGCCCATTTCCTCCTCCCTTCTCCCTACAGCTGGGGCCCCGGAGGGCAGACCGGGTTCTCCAGCCTCCACGCCGAGTGTCTGAGAGCCCGGTGTGTCTAGCAGAGGCTTTGGAGCAGGGCACAGAAAGCCAGTGGGGCATTGAACGATTTTCTTAAACCTCAGGTAAGGCCCTCCCCTGCTGGAGACGACAGGAGGTACATGGTCCTGAGAGACAACCTGAGGCCAAGCATGACTCCATGATCCCCCTAAAGGGAACGCACAGAGGTCAAAGGACAAGAGGCTTTGGAGGAGACCAGTCCTCCGCCCACCTCATAGGCAAGCACAGGCAGAGTGTACACACACACACACACACACACACACACACACACACACACACACTCCTGCTCAGGCCTCTCCTGGGGCCACTCCCAGCCTGACAGGCTGAGCCTTCCAATTCTCTGTTTTTTATGCCTCAGTGGTCAGGGTGTCAGGTTCCGGCATACAGAGGGAAAGAGTGGTGACAGTGTGTGTGTGCAGCCCAGCCTCGGCATATCCGTCAGCGCCACAGTGCCTCCTCCCACCCCCTTCCTCCTCCCCCTCCCCCTCCCCCTCCCCCTCCCCCTCCCCCTCCCCCTCCTCCTCCCCCTCCTCCTCCTCCTCCTCCTCCTTGTCCTCTTTGAGAAGCAGGTTGGGAGGAATGTGGTTGGAGGGAGGCCTGGATAGGGGGACACACTGTCCCCAAGGCTCTGACACCATAAACTGCCCGTCAGAGGTACACCCTGATAGTGCTGAGCCTGGCCTGTCTCTGAATAGCACCATTGCTCATACTGCCAGGCCACCTCTTCCAGGAAGCTTCTCTGAGCTCCATCCCCCAAGGGGCGGGGTGAGTCCCAGGGCCACTCAGGTAGAGGGAGCTGGCACGGACCCCTGGAGGTCTGCGAAGGTGCATAAGCAACTTCCAAATCCGGGAGAAGGTGAAGAACCTAAGCCAGCACCGCCACATTCTTCCACCTACGTGGCTTCCAGGAGGCACCCTTTCCTGCCCCTCCACTGGCACACAGTCTCCTGCATGATCCTCTAGCATCTCATTGGCCTTTCCTTGGGTGAAGTCCCCACAGCATGGGAGAGTCTGCTCCTACTGGTCTGTGCCCTGCCTGCTCACCACATATCACCCTGTTTCCAGCAGACAATAGTTCATTGGTATCCCCATGGCACAGAGTCCCTGAGGCTCCCTCCTACCCCCTTTCTGGGCCCCATGCAGGAGAGGCCCTCCCTGGATGCTTTCTGTGACCAGCCCATCCTTCTGTCCTGCCATGGTTTATTCCACAGAGCTTATCACATCCCAACCTGTCTTGTTCACCACTCTCATCTTGTTAATTATCTGTCTCTTCCATGAGGCTGATAACTCCTTGGGGACAGAGTTTTGTCTGTTTATGTCTCGATCCCAAGCTTCATCACCAGGCTTGGCATCCATCTAGCATGCATGGATGACTAATTGTTAAGTGAGTGAGTGACTGAGTGAGTGAGTGAGTGAGTGGGTGAGTGAATGAGTGAGTGAAACTCCTAGGTCAACCAGGGACACATTACCGAGTGGATCTCTAACTTGGACAGTGGCCACCACTACTTCCATTATTAGCTTCCACAGCCAGGGACATGCTGTGGCATCTGCTGTGGGCTACAATTTAAAGCAATTTCTGATTCGCTGTCCACCACAGCATCCTGTACCCAGAGGAAACAAGCCCACCAGGACCCCCAGCTGGTATGCTCAGAGCCATGGTGAGGTGGGCACCTGGGTCCTTGTCCTGTGACATGCCCTGTTAGACTAGTACATTCTTAGTAAGGGGAGCTTGGCCATCTTAGGGACATGAGACCAGCCTAGAGGCTCTCCAATCACCTGTTGGGGACTCTGCCATGGCCTGATTATGTAGTAATCTAGCAGAGTGTTCGGAGTGGAGATGCCAGAGCCTTATGACCAGGGACGCTATCCACAGATCTGGTCCACGCAGTCCCAAAGCTGGTTGTGGGACAGCAGACTGACCAGGTGGACACCACAGTCCTTGATCAATTTGGCACAAAGTCGAGGATGTGGGGCCAGGCTTCCTGGGTTCAAATCCTGAGCCTGCCTTTTCAAAGTTCTGGAACTCTCAATGGGTCACTCAGCTCCTCTGTCTCAGCTCCTTCTCTGACAAGTTAGGGCAATTTCCAAGTTCGTGTGGTACTGTGGAGTGTTCAGAGGAGGCTCATGTTCCTCCACCAGTCACCAAACCCTCCTCCACGTCCAGGATCCCACTGAACCTCCTAGGCACCTTGCGATGCTCACAATATTGTTAAAACTGCATTTCAGATGTGAAATGTTCTCACTCAGGCCAGAACACAACTCCAAGGCCAGGTTCCTGTCTCCTGGCCCTGAACTTGCTTATCTTTAAGACATTGTTTTCCCACCCTGGACCTCTGTTTCCTCATTTGACAAAGGACAGAGCAGACCAAATATTTTCAACCTTCCTAATGCTGTGACCCTTTAATACAGCTCCTCATGTGGTGACCCCCAACCATAAAATGATCTTGTTGCTAATTCGTAACTGTAATTTTACTGTTATGAACTGCAATGTAAATATCTGATATTTATATATTTGTATATACATTTATATCCGATATGAGACCCCAAAGGGGTCAGGACCCAGGGGTTGAGAACCACTGCTATAGACCCTTCCTGGATCCACTCAGCAGCTATGGGGCTCCAACCTCCTTACTACCATCCCAACACTGAGGAGCACCTCATTTGTTGCTGGAACTTCACAAAAGCAGCTTGTAAAAGCAAGGTGTACTTAGCTTAGAGTCCTGGGGCAGCTCCTTGGCCCACTGAAGGGTTACTGAGCCCGGCCTCAAGGATGGGTAGAACTCCAGCACCAAAGGGATGCAGGGACTCAGGGCGGAGCAGAAAGCTGGGGCTGAGGCTTGAGGCCAGTTAGTGTGTGACATGAGGTGGTGCAGCCTTCCAAGAAGCCCCAGCAGAGGCAGCTGCAGGGTGTGTCAGGGTCAGGATGGAAGGGTTTTCTTTAGCATGCCCCTGGTTACCAATGGAAGTAGTCGTGGCCACGGCAGAGGGAACTGGCCATCCACAGGCATGAAATCCTCCTCCAGAGCAGGCTTCCTGGGAGTAGGAAACCCAAGGCCCTCCTTCTGGCTTTTGCTGGGGCTTCCAGAGGTGAAGCCAGCAGGCCCGAGGTCAAAGGTCACACAACGAAACACCTTCCCTTGTGAATTTGCCCAGTGAAAAGGACTGCCCTGCCTTGGGGCTCCTTGCCTCGTTCTACTGATTCATACTCTGGGCACCTCTCAAAGCTGTGAACTCCTTAAGTCCTAGCTTTTATTTCTTTTTAACAAGTCAGGTTCTGTAAGGCCCAAGTTGGGGGTGAGTTTGTGTCCTGATAGCTGTCACTCGGTCGGCGGGACCTCCATCCAGGAGGCACCAGGCACACGTAAGACCCAAAATTAACCTGTAAGCCCCACCTGCCCAAGGACCAGGCAACTTCCTGGAATGCCGGGAGTTGTAGTTCTTAAAAAGTAACAACAAAGCCTCATGAGAAAGTACAGTGACCTAGGGGTTTTGTCCATATAAAGCCATACAGTGTGTGTCTCAGGGCCATTCAGCTGGGATATTTCCAGGAGTGGTCCTGACCAAATTCCATCTTGGTCAGTATTTAATATTTTAATAAAGCTTGCTTCAAATTTGGCCCCAAGTGGTAGAACTGGTTTTCTGTGGTGATCTCAGGATTAACACTCATTGGCTCTCCTTCAAGGCAAGTCCGGATGCTGCCTAGAGTTGGACGCATGGAATCACCTAAGAACTCTCCAAAAGAAACCAGTGCCATGGTCTTCTCCATCCTGGCCAGGGAAGTGGTCCCATGGAGGGAAACCATGTGGACTCAGGCCTGTAGTTAGCAGGCAAGCTGGCCCCACATGGTGAAAGTAGACAGAGCTGAGGGGTGCCTGAGAAAATGGAAGGGCCTGATTGGAAGGACTTGAACATGCACATGCTCCACATGGAATGTGTGAGCGTAGTGTGTGTGTGAGCATGTGTGTGTGTGTGTGTGTGTGTGTGTGTGTGTGTGTGTGTGTGTGTGAACATTTGAAGATTTTGAGTCCTCGATCCAGCTCTAAGGTGCCCTGGTAGGGGTGAAAGTCACCACCCCCTGTTCATCTCTCATGCATTCATAAA